TGCTGCCGGGTGCTGCTGCAGGGTGCTGCTTGCGGGTGCTGCTGTCCGAGTGGCGTGTGCGCTTTGGGGCGCCCCTGCAGGCAGGGTGCTGCTTGAGGGTGTGCTGCTGTCAGAATGACGTGTGCGCTTTGGAGCATGCTTGGTTCCTGGTGCCGCTGCAAGGTGCTGCTGTTAGAGAGAGTTGTTTGTGCTTTGGAGCTTGTTTGCTGGTGCCGCTGGAGGGTGCCGCTGCCGGGTGCTGCTGAAGGGTGCTGCTGAAGGGTGCCGCTGCAAAAATGCAGCTGTCAGAGTGCTGTTTGCGCTTTGTTGCTGGTGCCGCTGCAGAGTGCCGCTGCAAAGCGCTGCTGTCAGAGTGCTGTTTGTGCTGTTTTTATTTTGGAGTTTGGTTGCTGGTGCCTGCGGATTTGTTTTGCTATTTGGGGTCTCTGCTAGCGTATTTTTTTGAAGCACACCTATATATATATATATATAATTCCGCATGTACAGAACCTATTCCCGATCTGTATTTTGAATAATATCCGCTGAATACCATGAACATCTCATGTGGAACCCCTTGAAAAATCAGAAAAATGGGGCTGAAAAACGGATTTCATGAGGTGTATTGCGATGTTTTGTTGCAGCCCAAGTACCTCTGGTAATTCAACATAATTGTTTAAAACATATATAAAAATATATAGTATATACTTGTAACCCCCCAAAACGATAGGAAACTAATTCATCTCTATTTTGGTGGATTTTACTTTTCTATCTTTTCAGGGACTGCTATATGAACAATTTCCCATGTGAAAATATTACACATTGCGATTTTTGTCGATTTTTCATACCGGAGGGTATACAGTTAAGTGAATACCTGAAAGGCTGCCATTTCTCCAGCGTGTCAAATGCGCCAACCAGGAAAAGGCTTTCCAGTGGCAAACAGCTGTGGCCCTCTTTGCTCAGATGGGTGTGGAATCCTTGTTGCCGGATGTCATCACTTGCAATGCTGCCATCAGCTCGTGCGAAAAAGGTTGTCAATGGGAAATGTCTTTGAATTTGTTCCATGCGATGAGTTCGCATGTGCTCACCCCGAGCATCATCAGCTACAATGCAGCGATCAGTTCTTGTGAGAAAGGGTCCTGCTGGGAATTAGGTCTGCATTTGTTCAGCCAAATCATCGACAACCACCTCACTCCAACAGTTATCAGTTACAATGCCACTCTCAGCGGGTTGGGAAAGTCGCAAGAATGGCAACGGGCATTGCATGTATTCACCACTTTGGAATCAGAAAGCATCGGTCCAGACGTGATCAGTTTCAATGCAATGATCAGTGCTGGTGAGAAATCCATGGAGTGGCAACTTGCGCTTAGTGTTTTCAATAGCATTTGTGACGCGCGATTGCACCCAACTATTGTCAGCTGCAATGCGGCCATCAGCGCATGTGAAAAGGCTTTCCAGTGGCAAACGGCTGTGGCCCGCTTTGCTCAGATGGGTGTGGAATCCTTGTTGCCGGATGTCATCACTTGCAATGCTGCCATCAGCTCGTGCGAAAAAGGTGGTCAATGGGAAATGTCTTTGAATTTGTTCCATGCGATGAGTTCGCATGTGCTCACCCCGAGCATCATCAGCTACAATGCAGCGATCAGTTCCTGTGAGAAAGGGTCCTGCTGGGAATTAGGTCTGCATTTGTTCAGCCAAATCATCGACAACCACCTCACTCCAACAGTTATCAGTTACAATGCCACTCTCAGCGGGTTGGGAAGGTCGCAAGAATGGCAACGGGCATTGCATGTCTTCACCCAGTTGGTTTCGAATGACGCGCCAAATGTCATCAGCTACACCACTTTGATCAGCGCTTTGAATCGCAAGCGATGGCGGTTGGCTGCAAGAGTCTTCTCTCAGACGCTTGTGATGAGACCAAGTTGGACCTCCATGGTTGTATGGTGTTGCAGGATGTTGCAGGGTGATGCGTTCCCGCCACAAACAAACATCTCCCGTGTCTCCCGTGAATTTTCGCTCCCTTTTTTTGCATTTCATCCAACCAAATCGTTGGTGCTCAGGGATGTTCATATTGTTCTGATCGTCAAACAGGAATGGTATGAACGGCTTAGTACTAAGTTTTCTTCCAGCAGTGCTCTCTGTGCCCTGAACTGGTGGTGGATGGCCACCCAAAACCGGAATTGTAGTTTCTGAACCTTACGTCCCAGAATTGTTCTCAGGAAAGATTGGCAGAAAACCCCTACTTGGGGTGGAAAACAATGGGTTCCTGGATGTTTTCCCTTAGATCCATCCAATGAAACATCATATTTGATATATTTGGTGTGTAACATAGCCATTTTGGCTGGCAAAATCGGCTGGTGAACGTTTGGTGAACCCCCAGCATTTGCTGCCTCAAATCACCTTTTCTAAAAACAACATATACCCTCTGGTAAACGTTTACATAACTATGGAAAATCACAATTTTTAATGGGAACATCCACTATAAATCACCATTTTCAATAGCTATGTTAAATTACCAGAGGGTAACCTAAGGATGCTTCTCCAGTCAGTTCCGCCGAATCGTCTGAGCTTGGCTGCTCTGGCGGGTGCCTGTGAAGGCGAATCTGCCCCAGTGTGTTGGGCGAGGCCTTCGCTGGCCCAGCGATCAATGGGGACTTCAATGACGTGGAACTGACTGTGCTTGATGTTGAAAAATCCATTGGGATTTCGAAATGAAACATGGAGATGATCTCCATGACATATCATGAAATGTAACCTTGAATATCCGGTTGAAGCGCGGTGAGTGGTGGAACGGGGTTCATGGTTTTTGTCATGCTGATGGAGGCAAATGGTGGCCGAAATCTATAGCACCCCCAAACCACAAAGCACCACAAGCAGTGGCCAACATTGGAATCATTGGAGTTCCCATAAATTTCATGACCTTACAATACGGCCTTAGATCAACCAGGCTGGCTACATTCCTATAATGCAAACGGCTGGCCTACATTTCTAGCCTGGTAGCTGTTGTTGGGGTAAATCATCTAGACATTTTCCCGTGGATCTCAATTTCACATCCTGGGACTTCAGATTTTGGGACGGAAAAAAAGATGCGTGACCAGGGCTCCGTCGTTCCACTTTCATTTGGATAACATCGACATATTGACCTGAGGGAGCCCTGAAAGCTACAGCAACGGGGTAGATCTTGGGATGATGGGTGATTGAAAGCTTCATTTATGGACATTTATGGAGACTGAGAATAAGTGAATAGCTAACTAACTGTTTAGTAACTAAGTAAATAAATGAGTAGTTATATATACATGTATATATATATATGTGTGTGTGTAACATCTAAACAGATGTAAAACTTCTCTCTTTTTCTTCCTTCCGTCCTCTCCCTTTCTAAATAATGCAGGGGGACACAGCATTTCACTGGGACTGTGTCCAACGAAGCTACCAGTGAAATGGGATATCCAGCTTGGCCAGCTGGACGTACCTGCATTTTTTCGTTGCAATTTTGACTGACATGGCACGCGGCCAAGCCTAGAACCGCATAGCTGCATTTTCACTTCACGGTTGTCGCAATCTGGAATTATTTTCGTTGTTTCAACTCTAATCTGCATGTTTCAGGATTCAGTTCCTGCCGGATCATATAATGATCCATTCTTGTCTAGTGTGATTTCCATGGTGGCTCCGACATGGTGCCATGGAGCCATTGGAGGCAACCCTCTTTAGGGTGAATGATGACTGTCCTGACTTCCGAATTAACACATTTTAAGTTGGTAATTCATTTAAGTAAAGTGCAACAGTTGTCCTTGCGGTTGTTCAGCCTTTTGAGCGTCCCGCTGCACCTGCAGTCCCAGGGACCCCAGTGATCTGTTCTTTCATGCGCAGCTGTGCCGAACATTCAGAAACCTCCGTTTTTACTGCAGCTTCAGCGTTTGTGATGAGACATGTCATGCATGACAACAGGCAACAGGCATGTCCTCTTCCTGCAGGTGTGGTCTCTTTGGTTTTTGGTGAGGTGAAACATGTTGTGCACCTAATTCGTTGGAACTTGAAAGCCGTTTTATGCCCTTGTGGCTGACTTGAACACGGGCCTGTTGTGGCACAATCGCACGACCTTTAGGTTTAGGAACTGAATCCTGTTGTTTAACTAATTGTTTTGGTTCTCTTGTCTGTCACCAACTAGTCCCCCATTTGGTCCCTAATTTCCCCGCGTGCCTCTCCGTAATGCGTCGTGGGGTTTAGGTGTGTGCGCTGTTTTGGTCAGGTCCGTTTCGCCGTGTAGGTTGGTTCCGGAGGTCCGTCTGTTCCCCTCCCCCCCCTGCGCTGTTTTTGGCCGTCTGCCCGTCGTGTGTCCGCTTTTTTCTTCCTCTTGCCTTTCAGGGTTGACCCGGCTCTGGCCGGGTGTGTGTGTGTGTAACATCTAAACAGATGTAAAACTTCTCTCTTTTCCTTCCTTCCGTCCTCTCCCTTTCTAAATAACGCAGGGGGACACAGCATTTCACTGGGACTGTGTCCAACGAAGCTACCAGTGAAATGGGATATCCAGCTTGGCCAGCTGGACGTACCTGCATTTTTTCGTTGCAATTTTGACATTTGACTGACATGGCACGCGGCCAAGCCTAGAACCCGCACAGCTGCATTTTCACTTCACGGTTGTCGCAATCTGGAATTATTTTCGTTGTTTCAACTCTAATCTGCATGTTTCAGGCTTCAGTTCCTGCCGGATCATATAATGATCCATTCTTGTCTAGTGTGTGTCATATCATATCATATCAGAAATAGCTGGACGTACAAGCATCGTCACATAACTTTGGGACCTCCCGCCGTTTCAACTCACGGTTGATGGCAATGGCTACCTACACTGCGCTGAATATGATGGGGTGTCTTCGATTTTCCTTCGGGGTCATGAAATTTCGGACTTGAAATCGGAAACAATCCTCGAAATCGAAGTAATCCTTGAAATCCTGAAACATCCTGGAAAAAATTGGAACTTTGTGCTCCTAAATCAGCATAAATCACCTGTGCTGTTCAACACCTAGGCCTTGGTGCTCATGACGCTCATTGTGCAGCTGGGATCGATATGAGGGGTATCCATCGCTCTAGTCTACACTTTTTAGATAGACACACACACACATATATATATAATGCGCATATATTCTGAATTATATATATATAGAGATTATATGTACATATTAGTACATATGCACTTTTCCCACTAAAGGATCCTCAAAATGAAGAGGTTCAATCCTAAACCAGGGAGTCTGCGAGGGTATTTCAATGTTGGAGGAAGGGAACCTTGACAAGACCACTGCCTTCAGATACCGGGTAGCTTGATCGACTTGAGGGGACCGCAATACATATGTTTCTTTGCGGGGGATGATGTGCCATGACATTTTTTTTCAGGGGGCAAATTCGGTTCAAAAAAAGCAGATGTTTGGAGAAAAATCCAAGAGACGTTCGTTTTGAAGCTTGTTGGAAGGTGCCACACAGCTCTCGAGTTTTGCAAGGGTTGGCGTTGAACAAAAACTGGTAGGTACGTCTTCGGCATTCTGTTCGTACAGGTGCGGCCTGCAGATTGAAGAAGGTTTGAATGAAAATTTGGTGATGTGAAGATATGTGGATTGTGTGGCAGTCGGCCAATTTCATGAATCATCCCCAATGACTTACCATAAATATCCATAAATGGCTTCGATTCCAACCAGGCGGTGGACGATCATCGCAAAGATCCTATGTCTGCTATGAGTCAAGAGGACAGATGTGAAAAAGTTCGTTTGAAACTCAGGGTTCCAAGTTGGAGGGGATCTTACATGGGGATTTGGGGATATGGGGATTCTGAATGGGATTTGGAATGGGATTTAGGATGGTGTTATGACAGTTATGATCCTAAATCTAAACTTTCTGATTAGAGTTCCTAGTATGAATCTCAATACCACATCAGTTGTCCAAGTCTTCAGACCTTTTCGCTCTGCACAACTATTATTTTTGCTTTGGCCCCTTCCAGCCGTGAAACTTGGGGGATCTGAAGATTTTGCTGGATACCAAATTCCCAACAGCAGAGCGCTGGGGGTGGTATCCCGACTTCTCCCTCCTTCCCCAATGCGCAGGGTTCCCAGAACCTTGGAACCTTGTCTCCCACTGTGTCTCCCGCGGTGTCTCCCACCTGGTTCCCAACAGCAGAAAGGTGTTTGGTTTCAATCTCTAGAAGCAGGGTGCGGGACCCAAGCTACATGCGCAGGGTTCCGGCACGGTGCTGGGAAGCTGGGAACCTTGTCTCCCAGTTGTCTCTCTGATGTATCCATTTGTTTTTCAGTTGTCTTCCGCTTTGCCCCAGATGTGGTTGTCTCACAGCTGCATCCCAGGGTTCCTCCACTTGTTTTGCAGTTGTCTTCAACTTGTCTCCCATGTGGTCTCCCGGATGCTTTCTCCCAGATGTGGCCTCCCCTGTGTTTCCCAGTTGTTTCCCAGACGTCTAAAAGATCTGGTCCCCCAATTGTTTCCCAATTGTCCTGCAGTTGTTTCCAAACTCCCAGCTGTATCCCAGATGTAGCCTCCCACTTGTCACCTAGTAGTCTCCGGTTGTCTTACAGATGTGGTCTTCCGATTGTCTCCCCAATGGTGTCCCAGTTTGTTCCAGATGTGGTCTCCCAACTGTCTTCCACTTGCCTCCCACAACTCCCAGTTGTCTCCCCGATGCGGTCCCTTGTCTCCCAGATGCGGTCCCCCAATAATCTCTCAATTGCCTTCCACATGTCTCCCAGTTGCCTCCCAGATGTGGTCTTCTCATTGCATTTGAACCCGTTACTGCCATTGTCTCGCCCTTAGCCTTGCATTTAAAACCGCCCTGCTGGGTTGCAAAGCTGGCTGAATGGTGCTGGCTGTAGGTTCCCAATATTTTTTGGGGCTCCGCCCACGAGGAGAAGGATGCTGCTGACAATTACTTCGGAAATCTCTGGCCGCTTGGCTGCACGGCAGCAGGCTGCGTTGATTGAACCTGGATCAATGAAGGATTGCTGCTTGGAAGGAATACTGTAAGACCCATGTAACACCTGAGAAGGAGACTTAAACTTGGACGAACTTAGAAGTAGAAGGTCTATCTTCAAAGGATCTTGAAGATTTTACTTGAGAAATCTTGAGAAAAAGACTTGCGGTACGATGTGCCCCCAGTGTAGAAAGGACCGCCGACAGTTTTAGGTTCCATGATCATCCCAATGGCTTCATCAATGCACCCCGAAACTCCAATGGTTTCTCAGCATTTTTTCATGAACATTTCGTAACATTCCATCAAAATGGGGCACTTTTTGGAGTTAGAATTGTTAAAACACCGTTTTTCCATCCATTTTCAAAGATAGCCAGGGCTGAACATTGAGACTGTGACTATGCCTGGCTCTTCAGCCCCAGGGAAGCTGGCTCAGGCTGTCTATGTTGAGCCTTTTCATGAGCATCACTGGTGGGGTTAGCTGGGAGCAGCTACTGGTCCCGCTGCATGCAGTCTCTCCTTTTTGGGTCTTCGTGTTCCTATTTTATGTCAGTTTCACGATCTTTGCCGTGCCTGGGCTTTTGTGGCGATGTTGGGATGTCAAGTTGAGCTTTTTGGCTCGGTTGCAGACGATTGTTTTGCTGAAAATTGCTTGTGGTTCTAAGAAATTCTATGATGTTCGGGTGTTCGGGCATGTTTAGGCCAACAAGATCAACAAGGTCAGCTGGTGGATTAGCAACAGCAGAAACAGTTTCTGTCATTTTTCTTGCCAGTTGCAGGGTTGCTTCCAGGGTTGTTTTCCACCACCTGGCATCCCAGGTCTTGAATGAGTCTTGGCGATCCAATTGGGACGTGGGAAGGATCAGAAAATCTGTCAGCCTTTGGCATGCAAACAATTGGCAAAAGGTAAGGCCCCATTCAAGTGGCAAGTCAGAAACAAACCGTTCATTCTCCGCTGGCATGTTCCATGTGGGATGACCAATTATACCAAGTCAAACCCTTACGCAATCCTTCTTTTCCATCCAACAAATTCGATGATGATTCCATGTTGGCATCTATTAATTTTTGTGGATGGGTTGCTGAGACTGCCAACAAAGTTGCAGGTGTTTCATTTCTGTTTCCTACTTCCTGCTTCATACCCCGATGATGTTCCCAACATTGTGACATGTGTGTATCATATTACATACCAGTAGTACCGCATTCAAATCAAAGATAGGACACTGTAGCTAGTAGGAGAGGTGAGTTGTTGTGATGCATGGATGGCAGAGCGAATTCACTGATGGACCGAAAGGTGGTTGGAGTTGTTCTTTTTGAAATGGTTGCAGTGGTCACCTCAGCCACAACTTCTGCATGTACTGTGATGTAGTGTAGTGCAATGTAATTGTCGTGGCAGTTCCAGTTGTAGTTGCAGTTGTATTGTAATGTAGTTGTAGTGGTAGCTGTAGTTGCTGTTGTTGTAGTTGTAGCCGCAATGTTGTAGTTGAGGCCGCAGTAGTACTTGTAGTCGTTGTAGCTGTTGTTGTTGTTGCTGTTGCTGTTGTTGTTGTTGTTGTGGTGCAGTGTAGTTTAGTGTAGTGTAGTGGTGGTGTCTTGTGGTGAAGTGGAGTGTAGTGTAGTATAGTGGGGTTATAGTTGTAGCTGTAGTTGTAGTTGTCTTGTAGTGCAGTGGTAGCTGTAGCTGTAGTTGATGCTGTTGTAGTAGTTGCAATGTTGCAGTTGTAGTTGTAGCCGTCGTAGAAGTTGTAGTTGTTGTGTAGTGTAGCCGTAGTTTTAGTGTAATGTGATGAAGTGGAGTGTAGTGTAGTGTAGTGTAGCGGGGTAGTAGTTGTAGTTGTAGTTGTAGTTGTAGTTGTTGCAGTTGTAACTAAAGTGATAGTTGTTGTAGATGTAGATGTAGATGTAGATGCAAATGTAGATGCAGATGTAGATGTAGATGCAGATGTAGATGCAGATGCAGATGCAGATGTAGATGTCGATGTAGACGTAGATGTAGATGTAGTTGTAGTAGTAGTAGTAGTAGTTGTTGTTGTTCTTGCAGTTGTAGTTGTAGTAGTTGTAGTAGTTGTAGTTGTAGTAGTAGTAGTAGTAGTAGTTGTTGTTGTTGTTGTTGTTCTTGCAGTTGTAGTTGTTGTAGTTGTAGTAGTTGTAGTTGTAATAGTTGTAGTAGTTGCAGTAGTTGTAACAGTTGTGGAGGTAGTTGTAGTAGTAGTAGTAGTCGTCGTCGTCTTCATCATCATCATCGTCGTCGTCCTCGTCGTAGTCGTCGTAGTCGTGGTAGTGGTAGCGGTAGTGGCAGTGGTAGTGGGAGTGGGGGTGACAGTGGCAGTGGCAGTGGTAGTGGGAGTGGCAGTGTGGCAGTGGTAGGGGTAGTGGTAGGGGTAGTGGTAGTGGTAGTGGTGGTGCTGGTGGTGGTGGTGGTGGTGGTAGTAGTAGTAGCAGTAGTAGTGGTGGTTGTAGTAGTAGTAGTCGTCGTCCTCGTCGTCGTCGTCGTGGTAGTGGTAGCGGTAGTGGCAGTGGTAGTGGGAGTGGGAGTGGCAGTGGTAGTGGGAGTGGCAGTGGTAGTGATAGGGGTAGTGGTAGTGATAGGGGTAGGGGTAGTGGTAGTGGTAGTGGTGGTGATGGTGGTTGTAGTAGTGGTGGTAGTAGTAGTAGTAGTACTAGGTAGTGGTGGTAGTAGTAGTAGTCGTCGTCGTCGTCGTAGTAGTAGTAGTAGGTGGTAGTAGTCGTCGTCGTCGTCGTAGTAGTAGTAGTAGTAGGTGGTAGTAGTAGTCGTCGTCGTCGTGTCGTCGTCGTCGTCGTCGTAGTATGTAGTATGTAGTATGTAGTTAGTAGTATGTAGTATGTAGTATGTAGTATGTAGTATGTAGGATGTAGGATGTAGGATGTAGGATGTAGTATGTAGTATGTAGTATGTAGTATGTAGTATGTAGTATGTAGTATGTAGTATGTAGTATGTAGTATGTATGTAGTATGTAGATGTAGTAGATGTAGTAGATGTAGTAGTAGTAGTAGTAGTAGTAGTAGTAGTAGTAGTAGTAGTAGTAGTAGTAGTAGTAGTAGTAGTAGTAGTAGTATGTAGTTAGTAGTATGTAGTTAGTAGTATGTAGTTAGTAGTATGTAGTTAGTAGTATGTAGTTAGTAGTATGTAGTTAGTAGTATGTAGTTAGTAGTATGTAGTTAGTAGTATGTAGTTAGTAGCATGTAGTTAGTAGCATGTAGTTAGTAGCATGTAGTTAGTAGTATGTAGTTAGTAGTATGTAGTTGGTAGTATGTAGTATGTAGTATGTAGTATGTAGTATGTAGTATGTAGTATGTAGTATGTAGTATGTAGTATGTAGCATGTAGCATGTAGCATGTAGCATGTAGCATGTAGCATGTAGCATGTAGTATGTAGTATGTAGTATGTAGTATGTAGTATGTAGTATGTAGTATGTAGTATGTAGTATGTAGTATGTAGTATGTAGTATGTAGTATGTAGTATGTAGTATGTAGTATGTAGTATGTAGTATGTAGTATGTAGTATGTAGTATGTAGTAGTAGTAGTAGTAGTAGTAGTAGTAGTAGTAGTAGTAGTAGTAGTAGTAGTAGTAGTAGTAGTAGTAGTAGTAGTAGTAGTAGTTGTGCTTGTTGTTGTTGTTGTTGTTGTTGGTGTTGTTGTTGTTGTTGTTGTTGTTGTGGTTGTCCTTGTCCGTGTCGTTGCTGTGTAGCGTGGTGCGGTTGAACGTCCAAAAATGTTGCGAACATGCGGTGTTTTTACCATTTTGACTTTGAGATGTGTTTCGCGCCACAACGGCGCACAATTTTTCATCTCTTATCTCACCAGATGGCTCCGCACCCGCCGCTTTAGCGAGCCTACTTTTCGATCTTTTCGACCCTCCGGAGCCACAAAACATGGGAAAAACACGTTCGTGCACCTGCATCTTCTTTCTTCTGACTCTTTCTCTTCTCTGATCTTCTTCTTTTGCCTTTCTCTTCCCGGACTCTTCCGACCTCTGCTTTTGATTTGTCCATGTTGTCGGAAGTTTGATTTCTAAACTTCCTTCGATCATAGCGCGCAGGATTACAGAACAGTATAGATATGATATGATAGTGTAAAGGTCATATTGTGATCATTTACAACATTATGATACTATAATGTGGGCTAAACAATGTCATAGGCCATCCCCCAGTCATCACCTTTTTTTAGGTGGTACAGTCACAACTCCCAAATTGTTGCTGATATATCATTAGTCAATGAGTTTTTGATAGAAACTGTGGAACCATTAACTATACTACTAAATGGTTGCCCTGTGATTGTTTCACAACATTAAAAAATTATAAGCCATAGTTTGTAGTAGTTTAAAGTTAATAGCCATAGTTAATAGCAATAAACCATAGTTCATCACCATAGATAGCTATAGTCAACCTATCATATGTCGCAAACCTCGATGCTTTCGATGGCTCCTCAGGTGGTCACGGGCGTCCCTGAGTCGCAGTTGTGATGAGTTTTTCACTGGGCGAAATGGGAGAGGCCTCCAGGGGCAACCACACACAGACACGCACACACACACACACATATATATATATAGAAGCATGCACACACACATATTTATTTATTTATTTATTTTTATTTATTTATTTATGCACTGATGCACACACCCACCCACACACATATATATATGCACACTTGATATGTTATGGTCATGGTGATGATGATGGTGATGACGATGATGCAGAGAGTTTCTAAAGTCGTGCCATGATGACGGTGTATTTAGACATCGGGATTGAATGGTGGTTAGTAGGGGGAATTACCCAACAATGCGCAAATTACTTTAATTCAGCCATACTTCCTACAGATAACTAAAAAATACTCATAAAACTAACTGACTAAGTAAGTAAGTAACTAACTAAATAACTAACTAACCCATATATATATGTGTGCGCGTGTGTATGCATGTCATTTGCGTGTAGATGCGCTAAATGTACGTAAAAATATATGCAAGCATCTATGTGCGTGTACCTATAGATGCAGTAAATGCATACATTGCACACAAACACACGCACATATACATATATATTATATATATAAATATAATTAGATAGATAGATAGATAGATAGATAGATAGATAGATAGATTATATATATATACAGATTTATGATTATTATGTATCTACAATGGTATGGCGGTGGTGCCTTTTTTTTGTGTCTTGGTAGCCGGCAAGCATCCTGGAGCAGATAACTTACGAAAGAAATTGGAACCGGCCTTCCGTGATACTTGGTATGAAAAATGGGGTTTATGTGTTCAACAAATATAAATAAACATATATATATATATATATATATATATGTAGATGTTTGTTTTTTTTTTGTGTGTATATATATATTTGCACGTAGAAAATATACAACTATGTGCAGTAGTATGTATGTATGTAATGGAATGGAATGGTACGGTACGGGCTGGTATGTATCTATGTACCCATGTATATATGTAGATGCATGCTTTCCCATGGTCCATGGTTTGAAATTTTCTTTCCCCTTCGCGCTGCAACATAGTTCGCACTTTCCCACGGTCCCATGTTCATGATTTCTGC